ACCTTCTACTAGGTGTCCTGCGTTGGCTCGCTTTGAGATGACCTCTGCGGACCGTCGAGAGGTCTGGACTGCAAAGTTGTTCGGCTGACAGCCGCTTTGGCTCTGGGCCTGGATTTAATTTCTCTTTCACAAAAGAAAAAGAAAAGATGAAACAGATCATTCAAATGTTAAGTGTGAGGTGCTGTAGACAATTTCTATGTTCACAGTACACATAAAAGCAGGCAGGCAGATAATTATTGACTAAAAGAAAAATGGACATTTAGGATTTGTTCACATGTCTATCTAAAAAAGGGGAGGGAGGAAAACACATAAGCTAGACAAATCCTAATCAAATAGCCAGAGCTATATTAGCACGGTTTAGATCAAAGTACACACATGTTATAATAGCACAGTCAAAGTCCTAAATCTTGTGCTTACAAATGCTCTTCATCTGATCTGACTGTCATTGAGCTATTTTTCAAAGAAGAAGCGACTTGCAACTGCAATGCAAATTAAACTTCGCTTCATCTCACAAGCCTGAAAAAAAAAATGCACACCACACTTATCAGATTTCGTTTTTCCATTTTTTAAACCATGTGTCTTTTTACTTTACATAAAATACAACTAAAGTGTTTTGAAATTTGTGGCTGTAGCATGAAGAAGTTAAGGGTATGAAAACGATTGCTAAACACTGTATTTTGGAGAAGAATGGTTACACACAAATGTTTGCACAAAAAAATGATAATACAGTGATCCAACAAAAAATAGAGAATAGTTTGTGCAAGTCTATTTTATGTTTGCTATCAGACACAAAGAGTAATAATTAATTTTAGATTTAAAGCACCAGAGATTGATTGAAGTTTCTTTTCCCGCATCCTTTCTCAGTTGGTCGACACAAAACGTTTTTCTTTTCTCACCATCTGTGCATGCTTCTGAAGGCAGCAGTGATGCAAGAGATGCAGACTTGAGGAGGCGGGTCTGAGACCATGCCAACCCTTTCCTCGCTTCCACTGGCTCAATGGGGGATTTGGGAAAGTCCTTCAGTGGATCCTCAGCATTACTGGAGTCTGGAAACTTTGGTTTCTGGACAAACAGACAAAACATCGAATCCATGATGGTGTGAGAAATCGATCACCATCTGAATTTAGTTGTGACATCTCTTTTAAGCCATTAGAACTCCTCCAAGCTTGATTTCTTTTGGTTGAAAGAAACAAAATACACATTGTTAATATGTCTGTGAATGTTACATACATGGTTCAGAGGTGAGAGGCGAGTCCCTGAGCCTGGCCTGGAGTCGGCATCAAAGTTTCGAGCATGAAGGCTGCAAAGTTTTAAAACGTAATCAATGATTTATGACAGCAGATACATACATTTTCAGTTCACAGATATGAATTCAGCTGAATTTGTTGCTAACCTAAAGGCTGACGGAGGTCTGCTGCCATGATCTCCTCGAACAGAGTTTGCCCCAAAAAGCCGCCTGGGTCCATCTCTTGGCGTGAACGGCCGGTGTGTGGACTGAACTCGCAGAGACTGCCTTGCTTCTCTGACTATGTCTGCACATGATTTCCTCAAACTGTTGCGCCGTGGGGTCAAAGCGCTGCAGACCTCATGCTTGGTCTCCATAGAGCTCAGTCAGTTTGCTCATTCGGGCCTAGGTGACTACCACAATAGGCCTTTTTAGAAAATTATTTTGTGTACATACACATGTGAAAACAGTCAAATTCCTTGTGCTCTGCCAATAAAGCTGATTCTGTGTTGCTCACTTGGCCTTTTCTCTGCTTTACGTCAGTCTTGCCCCCACCCCTTGTTTCTTGATCACACATCCATTGTGCATCCAGTTGATTGCTCCCTCAGTATACATTAAGCCTGGTTTACTGTATTCTTTTCCAGATCCTAATTACCACGTCTCTAGCTATCCCTTGACAGCAGTTTTCTGCCATTTCCTGTTTTATTGAGTTTCTTTCATAAGTTCAGCAACCATTTTGTTTTGTTCCAAAGATTATTTGGAGCATATTATCTTCCTCTCTGCCTTCATGTCACACATTAGCGCCCCTGAGACCATCTTACTGCTTTGTGACAAATAATTATAACCAGTACTAAGTATAATACACATCTCTAACATGACTCATCTGCTCTTCATTTTACAGATTTGTCGTTTCTCAATTCAAAATTTCATAGGTAGTTATGTTCATCTATCCCTATACTAAACACTTTCTAAATCTTAAAGTTTTTTTTTTTTCTGGAACTTTTTTACAGTTTGTCAAGTTAGATCAACAAGATTTAAAAAACACGTTTATTTGTGTGTTGTATTGATATTTTAGGTCATATTTGTGAAATGCAATAATGAATTACAATTTGAAAAGTGTTTAATGCACATTTAGGACTCCAGAAGGGGCCTGATTGGAAATAGAGTGCAGCTGTGTGTAATTTAGTCACTATATGAACACAGTAAAGGACTTACGGGTTTGCTAGAGAACGATAGTAAAACAAACAAAAAAAACAAAACAAAAAAAAAACAAGTAAATACATCGAAATTGGCCACAAAAAGTAAAAAAACCCCTTTATTACATATATAATTTTATAATGCTGTAAAAATAATTACAGCATTTTATTTACATATACTTTGAAATATATTTCATACATATAAAATTACTGTAATTTTTCGAGTTAATGTTTAAAATTTATTTGTTCACTTTTACTGACGTTACAGGTGCAGATGCGGGACGATGGCCTTTGTTTGTGCGCGTTCGCGATCCGTTTCTATGGTGACAAAAATGTCGCTTTCAAACTCAAGATATCAAATCCAACAAAATACGGATAAAATAACTTAGCATCTGGGATTGGAAACTTCATTTGTTTATTATACGAGTAGCTTAGTGATTAAGAAGCTATATTTATCCATAAGAACAGCTAGAATTTTTTTTAAAGCAGCAGGAAGCGGTCGATGAGTCTGATGTTTGAATGAAACTTGTCGTTAGTAAATTAAACTGGAACACTCACCGTTAACACTCCTCACAGCTTAAATTGCCGAAAAAAATGTCAGTCATGAAATAAAGCATGGTTTCCAGACCAAAGCACAAAAATAAAATGCGCCGAATCTTGCTTCAAAGTTGCAAGTTTTCAATCAGGCGTTTAGGTTAGACTGAAGCTTTCCTGTGCACGAGCTTCAGACGCGCGACTCAAGGTGACGCGCTTTTGCCTTTAACTGGGCTGTGAAGGAAACCACGAAGATCTGCTTCAAGCTAAAGTAAGGATCCGGGTTCATTAACTGTTTGTCTTTATTTGTCGTTTAACTTTAAATTAAACACTGTGTGAGTTTAGCAATAAAAACCATAAACAAAAGTTAATTTTGTTGAGCTAAAAGTCCTCAGGGGCAGAAGTATCATTATGGTGAATTGATGTCTCTTTGTAGTAGGTAGATAACTTTAGTAGATTAAATTTAGTTTCGGGATCTGACTTTGGGTCATTGTTGTTGTAATTATAAAGAGAGCTTAAGCTTTTATTTCAGCAGTTCTTATATGTCCTATTTCAGTTTGCGGCATTTTGCAACAAAAATGAATCATTAATTAAACATATTTACTTCTACTAAGATGTTCCACATAAGTTTGTTTTGTTAGAGGAAAGCTAATGTATAGTAATCTCACTTTATAACCTTATATACACACACACACACATTTTTGTGTTAGTTTGTCAAAGCATGCATAATAAGTGCCCGAAAAAGTTTATCTCATCCTTTATTCAGCTACTATCAACCAAAATATACAGTTGTGAAAAAGAGTATTTGACTTTTTACAGATTTCTTCTGTTTTTGCTTTAAAAAAAATCATACTTAAATGTCTTGAATGAGCCAAAATTTTAACATCAGACAAAATAACTTAAGTAAGTTCAAAAAGCAAGTTTATAAATAATTTAATTTGACATTTTTGGCCTGATTATTGCAGTGTCTATGACTAAGAAACCCTTTAAATAGAAATAGTCTGAAAACATGAAGTAGGCAACAAGTCTCATAAAGCAACACATTTTTGCTCTGATCTAAAGAAATTCAAATTCAGTCCTCAAGGGTCAGTTTCCTGCAGCTTTTAGAAGTTACCTTGTCCAACAGACATAAATTAAATAGCAGAATTGCTTCCTCAGTTGGCATTCAAGTTATCCAGATTCCTGCTAATGAGCTGATTCGTTGATTCTGGTGTGGGAAAGCAGAGACACATCGGAAAGGTTGATAAATTTTATAAATTAGATAGATAATTTGAAACATCTATGAGTGACACAAAAAACCAGCAAAAGAAATCCATATGGGGAACCTCAAAGTGTAACATACATTCAGTGCAGATACACATTTGTAATCTCAATAATTATCAGTACACACACAAATATTCAGCCACATAAAGTTTATCAAATAAATCAAGACTATGCTTTATTCAAGACAACAAACTTTCTAGAGATGCTATAAATTACAGCATTTTATTTAGATGTTCTTGTCAGAAACTGAGTTATATTCTCTGTTGTCTGTCAAAAAAATAAATTACAAGTTGGAGCAGAGACATGGAGCCCTTCTGTTTTTGTTTTTGTAATCATCCTTATGTCTGTCTTTACCTTCCCTTATATGCAAACACAGAGATTACATATTTTAATCCCACAGGCAGAAGTCTTGATCTATCAGCAAACTGGTCCAAGCTGCAAAATTTGTGGCCAATCTGAAAAAAAAAAAATAAAATAAAAAAAAATAGCAGAAAAAAGCTGTTGTCTAATTATGATATCTGCTGGTTATTATTACAAAATATATACATAAACAAATAAATATTCAGTTCTTTGAAGTAGAACAGGAGTCATTTTCATTCGTCCACCATTTTGGATTTACTCACACTGTGACGATTGAAACATGGGATACGTTCCCAAAATGGCCGCAGGTTTACACTCTAGTTTTTAAGTCTGCAGTTGTGGTCCAATCGCAAGTTAGTCTTTGATCCAGCAGTCCTGTTCCTGTTTGCACCATTAAATACATACAGCTTGGCTGTAGTTTCACCAAGCTGTCCTCACACTCTTCAAGCTTCGTTTACTTCAGATGAATCATCGATGCAGAGAGGAGGCAAGATTTGGTCAAAATTCAAAGGTAAACTCAGAATTATGGAGAGCACAAGATGCCGAAGTTCATACACCTAACTTGTGTTGCATTCTGTCTCTCTTCAACGCCGTCTCGATGGGCTGACCTCTTTGAAAACCAATCAGGTCTGTCTGGATTTTCACATTTATCCACTTGTAAAGCTTTCAGCCCCCTGGCTTTTTATTTTTTTATACTCTGAAATATACATCTGAACAATCTTGCGAGCCTCTGGTTGGATTTAAATAGCCTTACATGCTTCAGTCTCTTGGATACAGTGAGCCTGATTGGCCCAGAGTGCACGCTGGCCATGCCCAATCACAGGGCATCACCGTGGAGCTCAGCAGCCAATGGGAGGATGAAGATGTTCTCTGTGATTTCATTGTCACTAAGGGAGGGGGAAAGGCACTGCCAGGACAGTTGGCACCAACATGTTAAGCGGTGAAGTCTACTACGGTGTTTATGTTTGAGATAACCTGTGGAGCGAGACGAAGGAGAGCAACAGTAAAGACGAGGCAACGCAGCCCCATCACTGACGTCAGAGATGCTCACGTTAGAGGAGTGAATGGTTTGATGCGAGAGAAGGTGTTGTGTCTTAGACTGACCAAAAGCACATCTTTTCTGGGCTCCCTCAACTCGTCACATTCACATTCAAACCCTTTTCCACCCCCAAAGGACTTGCATCTGTCTTCAACTTCTTTCCTTTGACCTTTTCACCTCAAAATGCTACCTGAATGCACGTTATACTATGTACGCTAGGAATGTGCTTTGCATTTCACAATTTCTATCTTTTTTTTTAACTGTAAGACATAACCTCTATTTTAATTTACCAATACTGATTTTATAATTGATTTTTATTATTATTACCATTATCTGTGGGAGAGAATAATAGAAAGCCAATTCTGCATGTGGTATGAATCACACAAACACCTATTTTTCTGTTTGAAATATAAAATATATTCAGTATTTGCTCAAGAACTCAGTTAACTTCTTACACATTGTTACACATTCCTGGTAAAGTGTAAAAGTCCTTAAATAAATTCATAAAGGTGTAAGAAAATGGATGGATGGATGTGCTATTTATTTGCAAATATTATAAATGCCTCATGTAGTTTATGTTTTATACTAGCCATCTCTTTTTGATATCTGAGCCTCTTTTTCTGGGACATTTTAGTAATTTTTTGTGAAATTGCCCAACGTAATGATCAGACTGAAGTTTTTATAAGTCAGCAGGTTGTTGAATTGACACCAGAAATGAAAAGTCCCATTTAATAGGAAGAAACCTCCAGCAGAACCAGAACCTGGCTCAGAGTAAAAGCCCATGTGTCATCACTGACCAAAGCATGCACCACCACACACACACAAAGAAAAACATGCAGAAAATTTAGAAGCGCTGATCCAGAAGTACTTTTTATGTTAAAGAAAAGTAAAATGTAATTGGTCTTTTAGTGGCTTCATCTATGATAGAAACACAGTTAAGTCAGCAGCTTTCATTTTGCTGACTGACCCTGACACAATAAATCAAATTTCTCGCTTTTTATGCGCTATTGCTCGCACAAGATTACAGATTCAGCCTTTTACAAGATCTGCAGTGAAATGAGTTGTTCAAAAGGGAGTGGTTTCAGGCAGGAAACACTAAACAGAACTGCATATTTAGCATTTTAAGGGGATAAAAATGCTTAAACTTATCTTACATAACAGCAAGCTTTTTTTTTTTTTTTTTTTTTGCTTGATTAACGCTTGTTACATGCAATACCTACCTTTGCAGATTTATCTATTTTTATCTGCCTGGCAGTTCAGTTCACACTTGTGTCATGAGGTTGAGGTGTGTTTCCACACTCTGCAGTGAGAAGCAGAAGTGGGTGAAAAGCCAGACACGTCGTCTGGACCATGAGGAAACCAACTCCGTGCACAGACATTCAAATAAAGCAGGCGAGCTGGCCAGACAGTTACCAGCTTATCACTCATCTCTCTTTGCATGCACGGAAAATAAAATACGTCTCCCACACACTAATGCTCACCAACACACACCTGTGCAGCTCATACAGCAAAAGTGTCTTTTGTTTTTACACCTGTGACATAAAATAACTTTTTTTTTTTTTTTTTTAAAAAGAGCATTTTCCCATTTAGGGTTCTTTAAAATGAATGTACTTTATTTTTTCTCTGAGATATTTATAGGCAACTTATTTTTTTAGCCACTCAGAGTGAGGACACTAGTTACCCAAGCTGCCAACCTAAATAAAAAGTGACAAATACTGACCGACCTTCTCGCAGCCTCAACAACAGCTCTATACTGTTGTTGAGGCTGCAACAACTTTTGCACATTTTGCAGAATCACATTTTTTGGTGTCTCTATCACCTTTGCACATCTAGAGACTAGGGATATTTTTTTTTATCTATTCCTTATAGGTAACTAAATCTATGTCACTTTGTAGGTAAGTCAATAATAGGTATTTATTTATATAGTACATTTCACTGGTCATGGGTTACTATTATAATTTAAAATATTTACTGAAAAAGGTCAAGCATCACTTTTCAAGTCTTGCCACAGATTTTCACTTGGACTGGACTTTGACTGTTCCATTCAAACACACCAATACACTGCAAATCCAGATGTATGTTCTGGGTTGTTGTTTTGGTGGAACTTGAATCTCCTTCAATTGACGTTTTCTATTATGTAGTTCAACAGAAAGGCCTTCCATTGGTTTTCTTTAAGCATTGGCTTTCTTATGCCGTACTTTGACGTCGGCCACATTTGTTGAGAGCCCAACCAATAATTGTTCTATCAACAGATTCTCCAGCCTGAGGCGTGGATCTGTTCACATCCTCCAGATTTGCTTCTCTTATTAATGCTCTGATCATATGGAGAAAAGCTTTGTTATTTAATGTAAACCTGCTTTAGATTTCGATCCGTTGTGTTCCTTCTTCTTCCGACGTTCTCTAAAAAACCTTCAAAGCCTCTAAGGCTCATATTTATTTAAGGTGTTTTACAGGGTTTGTCTAAATATTCCTCTGAAATAGTCTTTTGATGTACACATTAAAAGAGCCGTATGTTAAAGCTATTATGTTACATGTTATGGAGGTGTTTAGTAACAGTAACTAGTAAACAGAGTTTCCCTGTAGACTACAATCTTGCAAACAAATCTTACAAAGTCATTTTCATATAATTTTATTAGCTAATTTGGGAGTAGGCGGCTCAGCTTTTCCTTGATGGCCATCTTTGTTTCTATGAATAGATGTTTGGGCGTGAGTGCTGACCTGTCTGTGTGGTTTCCAGTGTTCCTCCCTCACATTGGTCCTTACTGTATGTTTCGCCAAGGCCATCTGATCACACATAAAGCGTTAACAAACACGCATTCACTGACTCGTTCTGAGTGATGTGTTCCACTCCCCATTATTTTTCTTTCCGCATTAATTATGGAGAGAAAAATATTGGGTGAAGAAAGATTTGCTTTAAAAAGTGAGCATCAAGGTCTGTGTTTGGCATCCTCTTAAAAGGCTTTTCAAGTACACACGGAGGCTGGTGAAGGACGCCGGCGCCTGATGTGGGTTTTTTCAGACTGTAGGGTACAGTGCATGTTCCTTTGAATGTATTACAATGCCTAACCTTCGCTTTTCAAACACGTGTTCTCTGCTAACTCATGTTACAAAACTAATGTTGTCATCCTGCTCCTTTTTAGTAGTAAGTAAAATAAAAAAAATATATATGAAAAAACGCAGCTTCCTTTGTGATGAGAAAGATGAGCTGCTGTCTTCAAGCAGAACATGTCAACATAAGATATCCTGTGGTTTGTAACAATTGTGGTCTTGAATAAAGAGGAGTTAGAGAGGCATTTTTAGATGTTACCCAGACCAATATGAAAACATTATCAAATATATCTCTGACATATTCCTTCTCTCACTATTGTGGCATAAATAAATAGAAGTCTCCTTGGCGATTTTAAGCAAGAACAGATTGGTCTGATGTAACTTTAGACAGTGTTGAAAAAAGGTATATCTTTTTATTTGGTGTATGTAGACATCTGGTTTCAACTGCATATTATAACTTGCAAGTATTACTGCTTCAAGTTTGTCATTTAATGTTATTGAATGAACCAGTTCTCTACAAATTTCAGCATAAATCTATCGAGAGAAACCAATAAGGATATTTTAAAATGCAACACCTGCAACTTTTTTTTTTGACACCACCAATAAATATGTGCAAAAAGCTTAAAAATGTATCCTCACACAGAAATATTTTGAAAAATTCAACTTTCAGTTTGAGTACATTCATTCGTTGGGTTTGCTGAAGAAATGATAGCCTTTTTTTCCACACTCCTACACAAACAAATTTTTCAGTTCATAACTTAATTTTGTAATTAATCAGTGTGTCTAGAAACTTCCAATTATTAAATTCACGTTATATTGTCCTGGCCAGTTCCTCTAAGTCATTCGCAAAAATTGGAATAACAAGAAAGTACTCTGTTAAAGTAGGCAGATGGAAGTTTATCTTCATCGTACCAAGAGAAATAGACAAAGATCCTTCTCCCTGTGTTCCAACTTTGTAAGATTGTATGGGAGAAGTGCAATGGTGTTGACAAACTATGTGCACCAAACCCAGAAAAGGTGATCTCATTGGAAAACAATGCAGGAAAAAACACAGGAAGGTGTTGCTTGCAATAACTGAGCTAAACCACAAATGAGAAAATTATTAGTTTTAACAATGGAACAGTAAAAAACAAAAACAAATGCATGACTAAGTTTTCATATTATCATACATCTTTTTGTTTTGCTGTCAACTCCCCTCCCCCTGATCCTTTGTTCCATTTTCATCCATTCCTGACTGCTGATATCTGCCGGTTAAATGGCCACGTCATCATGGCCGACTTTCTTTTAGAGCAACATTCTTCTTTTTTTTCTGGGTAATTGCGATGTAACCGTGTCTTGTTTGGATCTTGTACGCTTGCATGCTAGCATACACAGAATCAGGTATTTTATCAGGGAACAACCTTTAAGCACATCATGAATCAGCTGCATTCATTCGAATAATAAAAAGCTTTTCCCCCACATTTGCAGCTAGAGATAAATCGTGTGCTTATCTTGACATGTGCCTTGTGAGCTTGCACAGTCCAAGCTTTGGGATTTCCAGTGTAAGGACTGATTCACAGACAAACCCATCAACACCTGACCTCAAGCTAATAAACACAAGAGATGACAAAGAGGCTGCCCAGATGAAATGGTCCTGTTTCACAGCATAAACACGAGAGGCAAGAGGCACACAAACATGTACTGCTACACATGAAAGTTTTTTTTTTCTTTCTTTCCCCCACCTCTGACATCAGACAGGTCGTGGTTTGGAATCGTGCTCCACATTAGCGCCAGTGCACTAAGAAATCCTCAACTCTCTATGGGCTTTTTCTTTAAGGTATATTAGCTCCTCTTTGTCTTTAACACCTCTGACATGATCACTTAACACAAGAAGAAAGCAGAAGGAACAGATAACAGAAGGGTGTCGTGAAGAAAGGGGGGTAATGATGCTCAGTATAAGCCTCCCCTGGTGGTTTCACTGTCAGCACAGGCCATTATTCACTTTAGCACACATAGGTACAAATGGCCTCATTCATACGGGCCTCTTTGCAGATACACACAAAGGAATGCTGCTGTCTCTCCTTTGTGTCATTTTGTGTATCCCACCCACCATTTAGGCCACTGCAGTGAAGACAAATGGATGTGTGAGGCAGAATAACCTTGACATTCTGGACATATGGGTGTAATCAGGGAGCGTAAGACGTAACAATGACATCCATTTCAATAATTTGCATTAAAAATCTACTAAAAACGTACATCGTAAAAAAAAAAAAAAGCAAAACTGGATGGTTTAGATAGGATAATTTAACTGTGTCGAGGATTTAGTGACATACAGAGGCAAAGTCAGATGTTATCATTTTAAAAATTTTTACCACAAATAAAGTTGTAGCCATGATTGTTGTATCACAATACCTTCATATATCTTGAATCTTTTCACATTTGACCACACCACAACAATGAACCTCTGTGTTTTTTTCGTCTTTTTTATTGTTAGA